AAATTTTGTAGAAGATAGGAATATAAAATTGGGCTCCCTTATCCCACGGATCAGTTATTACCTCATGTCTTTTTGGACTTCAGATAGGTACTAGGGTTGGCTTTTATTTTGGGGAATATGTATTTGAGAAAGTAGTGAAACATGTTGAATTATGTGTTGTGAAACTTGCGATTGAGTTTCCCTTTTTAATTTGTTCCATATTATGTGGTAAAGAGAGTGATCTTACTATTGGTGAAGATGTATTTTTTGTTGCTCCTAGGTTGTTGAGTTTCACTTACAAATTGTTTGTTGGGAAACATGCCTCTGACGTTGCACTTCCCGATGTTCATTTTAATGATGAGTCTTGTTTAGTTATTGATGAAGAAATGCTTCATGTGGCTCCTATGTATGGGCATGTGAGAAGTCACATTATCTAGGCACTCATAGTGAATTCAAAGATTTGCAAAAAAAATAATTGCAACATCCACTGTGAGAAAAGGAATTTGTGAATGCCCTTGTTAAAATCTTAAGTCTGCAAGTTATTGGTTCCTCTTTTTCTTAGGCCGTTGTTCGTGATGTCGAGAAAGATATTATGTTGAAGGACCAAAATATTTCAAGTGCTAATTAGGAAGTTGGTGGTGAGGATGTGTATGTCACCACTTCTGATGATGAAGCTTATACTTTATTTTACTAATTTGTTTGTTGTTCAAATGATCTGTAAGTTGTGTTGGTTTTATTTTGGTTGGATTTTGTTGTTTCACTATTATGGAAAATACATTTCATAAAACAATATTACAACAGCCTCCTTGTTAACTCTGGTAATATTTCGTTTTTGGACGCTTTTTTATTTTCAATTTTAAGTCACTTTTCACCACAGATGGAAATCTCAACCGTGGTAAAAAGTGGTGCATGGTCATGATTTCAAATGTCATTGTTGTTGTTGTTCTACTGCTTCATTTTTATATTTTATTATAAGACATACAACAACGGTTGTTTAATACAATTGTTGTTGTATGAAGTGCGTTATCCACTTTACTACTATGGTTGAAAGTTTCAATCGTGGTGAAAATTCATTCAGGGTCATGGGAAAATATAAGCATATTTATTGAGTTTCTTCATTGTCCTTAAACAAATCTTGACCGTCCATTTAGTGATTATCAACTCTCAAGACACTTTCATGTGATCCGCGTGAAACCTTAAACTTAGACGAACTTCCAACTTAAACGAACTTCATCTTCTACCTCCAAATATTATCTTTCATTTACGAAACTCTATTTCTCCACTAAACCAAACTCGAAAATATCATTTCTACCATAAACAAAACTCAAAAATATCTTTTCTTTCATTAATAATGTTAGTTTTTGTTGTCCTTGTTGTTATTTTTTTGTTAGTTGTTCTTGTTGTTATTATTGTTGTTTTGTTGTTGTTCTTATTGGGGGGAGTTACTAGGAGCATTGATTTTGTGAGAGACACGCCACTTATCCACCTAAAATCTTAAGGTGATAGGTGAGTGGATTCTCCCACTTATAAATGCTCAAGTCTCCACATTCTTACTATTCAATATGGGACTATTTCTCCACTTGCTCACACTTGTATTATTATTCTAACACTCCCCTCTCAAGATACTTGTACCGTTGTTGACACCTTGCAACGAGACACCTCTTCTTGGGCATTTTAATACAAGTAAGTCGGTCCCTTTTTCGAAACTAAAGGCTCTGATACCATTTGTTGGGAGAGCTTATAGTAGGAGCATTGATACAAAGTTGAGAAACTAAGCACTTTTGTGAGGGACACACCACCATTTATTGTTGTTCTTATTCAATGTGAGACTATTTCCCCACTTAATCACACTTGTATTATTATTCTAACAGTTATTGTTGTTCTTATTCTTCTTCTTTTTTTGTTCTTGTTGTTATTCTTGGTGTTCTTGTTGTTGTTCTTGCTATTGTTGTTGTTCTACTGCTTATTTTTTCATTTTATTAAAAGACATACAACAATTATTGTTTAATACAATTGTGTTTGTATGTAACGCGGCTGTCTAATTTCTAACAATGGTCACATGTCTGTTGTGGTAACCAGCATACATACAATCACACGCTGCCTAACAACGAATGTGCTACTATTATTATATGTGTTTCGCAATCGTTATTGTATGTGATTTCAGTAGTAATATTTCTTTTGTTGGAGTTGAGTGTCGTGTTGTGGCTGGATTGTTATCTTGACTAAGTTATTCTACCTTTGTCTCTTTGGAGGTAAATAGAGGGGATGAGAACATTTTTTCTGTTTTGTTTTGATTTGGTGAATGTTATGCCTTTGTTGCTTTAAAATTTGTTGTTGTGTTTATCCGTTGTGTGCTCTAATGAATATGCATAATATCTTTGAATAGTTGCTTAGCCTATAAAATAGCCAAAAGGAAGTTTGTTATTAAAGTTGATTTTCTAATTTTTGTAAACAAATTGTTAAGTTTGATGTCTGGACTTGTTGTGAGACATTTTATCTATGATTAACTCAGGCGCGCTTTATGTCTAATTAATTATGTCGTGCACCCGTGGATTCACTTCAGATTATGCTTCAAGTTTTGTTTCGTTTTTAATTCTTCTAAATATTTGCAAAGATTACGTTTAAAATAAGTATTTTAAATCAAATCAATTTGAAGAATACTTCATTTGTTTTATTTTTGATTCTTCCAAATTTCTTCAAAGATTGTGTTTAAAGGAATAAGTATTTTAACTCAAATCAATTTGAAGAAGATTATATTGAATCATATATTTGAAAGAAAATTCTGATTGGATATGATTTAATTAAGAGATATTTGAATTTGGTTTCAATGAATAAGATTAAATTAGTTGTTTATGGGATTTGGTCTATTTTTTATCTAACACACTGGACTTTTCGGCTAGGTTGCTTTTGTCGTGTAAGGAGATGGTTTTCCTTGTTTGAAGACCATGGTTTTTGAAGTTTTGTGGGTGTTGTATTTTATTTCAGTGATTTTGTATTTTCATTGTAATAATTTATTCTTGAGGGTCTTTTTTATTTTAGAAGAATATAATATTTGATGTGTTGTTGTGATTTGAATCACGCCATATATAAATGCTTTTCTTATAAAAACTTGAGAGAGTGTTTGAGTGAAAATGAGGGGATCTCAGATTTAAGGACCGGTTGAAATTCATAGGTAGTATTAGAGAAGGGGAGTTAAACTTGAAAAGTTTAGATGAGACAGTCGTGTAATATTGACTACGTGAATTATGTTTCATTGGATTGAAGTCTTTCAGATATAAGTGACGTTGCATCGAACTAAGTTAACAATAGTCTATATTATTTAATTTTTTTCTATTTGTTCTTTGCTCCTTTAAAATCATATTGTATCACACATTGTTTCAACATTCAGAGTGATATCTTGTCGTTATCAAAATTTCATTATCTTCCAACATTTATTCAATATATCATACGCACACATTTTTAAACTCCACGGAAGAAACAACATATGAATTCTTTGTAGAATAATTAATTATAATATTTCATGTATCCATTATGGGTTTCAATTTTTTTTAGGTTTGATCATTTTCCCATTTTCAATTTTGAGTTATTTGTTTTCCAAGATTTCATTAATGTTATATCTCACATTTTGTTATGCAATACTGACACAATACAGCATATGAAGAAGAAAATATACTTGCAACTAAATTCATCAGTTAATCTCCATCAACTTCTGCCGAAATCATTCAAGCATATCATCAAGTATGTAAATTCTTATTCATGATAAATTCTTTTCAACATCAACGTGTACAACATCAAGTTAGAGATCTCGTGGCACATCATTCTCGGATACCTTAGTTTGGTTGACAGCATCAAAATGCACCGTCCTCTAACCATTGAAAAACAGAGAATTTAAGCAATCGAGAGGAATTTTATAACTTTCTAGATGATATTTTTCAAACAAACTTCCATGAGATCTCTTGGCACACCATTCTCAGACACCTTAGTTTGGTTGACAGCATCAAAATGCACCATCCTCTAACCATTGAAAAACAAAAAATTTAAGCAATCGAGAGAAATTTTATAACTTTCTAGATGATATTTTTCAAACAAACTTCCATAATAAATATAAAAATTAAAAATAAAACATATCGTTATGTAATGATAAGTACAAATATACATACATTACTTTTAATTTAGGAATATTATTATGTTCTTAATGTAAAAATACAGTTTAATTCTGTTATTAAATACAATTACTGAACAAGAGAAAAAAATCAGAGAATTTAAGAAAACAATATAGTCATATAAGTAAGAGGGTTTATAAAAGTAAACCAAATAGTTTGGGTTTCAGTCGTAAAGAAACTACTACTAAAAATATAATTTGAATTACTAAGGCTCCATTTCCCTAGTGAGATACTAAGACCCATTTCCCTTGAGAACCAGAGTGAGAAAGCCAATACTAAAATATAATTTGGATTACTAAGGCTCCATTTCCCTAGTGAGATACTAAGACCCATTTCCCTTGAGAACCAGAATGCGAAAGCCAATACATAGAATAATAGTAGGATATCTAATTGTTATGATCCAAACATAAAAGTTTCTCTCAAAAATATAGACTCAATGTTGATTGATTAGGGTATACCAAGAAAGAAAAGAGATAATTTTAAAAGTCTCGAATTTAGGAGAAAGATATAATGAGTCATCCCTAAAACTTTAATTTTTTTTTATTTTTGACAACCTTCCCTAAAACTTAATTTAAACAAACTGATTTTGGATTCCTTTCTAATATATAATAAAACATTTTTCTACAATCACTAACTTGTTTTCATTCATACAACATAGCGATTAATTATTTAAATTGTCACAATACAGATTATCTAATTTCATCGTCTAACACTGCACTCATCACTACAAGAATCTATTACAGCATTCTTCTCTTCAGCGCTAAACCAAATGAAAAAACAAAAATACAGAATTATGAGGGCTCATCATGGCCTTTCCAAAATGCCTCTACTGCCAAACATTTCATTACATGACAAGAACTAGAATACAAACTTCTCTTCCTCCGCGGTCTCGAGTAATCTATCTCCCGAATCTCGGAGTGCAGCTGCGGTCGAGTCATTTATGCCCAACAGATACTGCAAACGATTCAATTTTTCAGGACTTGGATCACTCTTCAAATATATGGTGTATAGATCAGAAAGTTCCTCTGACATTTCCCATGAAAGTGTCTGCGAGGGTACTGCTTTATCACAAGCCAGTAAGTTATTGAGTGAAGAAACCTGCACAAAGACAATAAGCAATCAAACTTGGTCATTCACAACCACCAAATCTAAAAAACTACTAGAACAAGAGAACATGAAACTTGGGAAATTGCTTACCACTCCCTTTGGATTTCTCTGTCTTAATAGTGCCACGGCCTGAATGAGTGAGTTGGATAGTCTATTTTGTGCAAGCTCGCGGACAACCCCTCTTGCTTTCTCTTTATTGATGTTGAGATCTAATGGGATTTTTTCATAAACTTCTTCCTCGTCAAACTCTCCGGTACCTGATGAGAAAATATCACCAACAGTTTTTTTGAAGAGGGTTTCTCTCAAGCTCACAGATACCATGCTGTCTAAATCAACATTGGATTCCTTAAGCTCCCTTATCTGCTTCATATTGAGTCTCCCTTGAGTTACAGCGGTTTCAATGGCAGCTGCCATTTTTGTAGTGGTTATATTTTTTATTATTTTCTGAGCATACTCTTGCGATAAGCCTATTTCCTTCTGCAGCTTCCCAAGCTGCTCAACCCTTGCCTTTGTCAACTGTCCATCCGCCAAAAGTACCTCAGCTTGTTGCCTAAAATCTTGCTCAGCAAGACCCCTATGAACATCCATTATTTCTTTGCCAGTCAATCCAAGAATCCCACCAAGCTGATTTAGAAAAACATACTCTGAATCGTCCTTCTTTTTTGTGATCTGAGCACCAAAAGGAATCCTAGTCACATCACCGGTTAGACAGTAAGTCAAGAATGTCTTGTAAAGATCAGTCCTGTCCCTTTCTGGAAGATCATCTTTAAGAGTAATTTCTGTCTTACCAGGCTTTCCCATTTTTTCTAAAAGTTCTTTGTCCGGTCTTATTTTCCTGAGAGTCTGAAGTGATTCCCATTCTTCCTCTTCAGTTTCTATAATTACCTCTTTCACAGGTTCTTCAGTTTTAACATCAGGAGACTCTCCTTTGATGTCCTCTACCAACTCAGTTACAACTAAGGTATTGAAAGCTATCAACTTCTTCAGTTCTTTTGCAGATTCTGTATTACTTTTGGCTGATCGTGCACGTTTTACGTAAGTAATAAACACCTTCCTCACCTGTAACAATGTCATGAAAACAGCATAGTGAAATTTAATCCTTTTTTAATCATATATACAATCATCAAAACTCCTGACTAATACACTCACCGCCTTGCTTGCAATAGACATAGCCGTCTCCTTGGTAAGTCGCAAGCCATGTGCTGCTTTTCTTACGGATTTCTTTGCTTCATCATCATACCCATCAACCCCTGAAGCAACTGCATCCTTGACAATCTATAAAGCATACACATGAATTAGTAATAAATAAAAAATCTCCATGTCTGCCAGAGACTGAAACATACCTTTTCAAACAAATTGCCACAGATATCTGCATGAGCTGCTTCAACAGTCTGTTGAGGTACACAGAGCATTACACGCAGCTTCAACAAAGCAGCAACATTCTCATCACTGAGCTCCCCACCAGCAACACATTGCTGAAGCTTTTGGCGATAAATTTCTTAAGAGAATGAACTATTGTTAGATTGTGTTATAAAATAGTAAACATAATAAAGAATGATAGTAAATAACACATTGTATAAAAAGCAAACTGTAAGAACAACTAAGAATACAGATACATAATTGAATTGAATATTATTTTTACAAGTCACAAACTCACAACCTTAAGATTAAGAACTATACATATAAATATAAGCTTAAAAGAACATAGTAATTGTTAAGATATGTATTAGATTTAAATTATATTCCGTTGAGAAAATTTCTCTATGGTTAGGTTTGTTGGTTTTTGTAATCAAGGGATTTAGTTGGAGATTCGATTGTAATCACTTGACTATAAATATCTCATCTAATATAGAACTCTTAACAGTAATCTAAATCTAGGCCTTACAAAAGCTAAATTCTAACTAACAATTACAAATCTCAAGTTTTACCTTCATGAAGTTCACTGGCCTTTTGTGGATCAAAACACAGCTCGTCACACAAATTTTGAAGGAATGCCGCTTTGCTCTCTGCCATTTCTAACTCGCCACTTGAAACAGTCTGTCCAAGTCGTTTACGATAAACCTTTGTTGTAACATCGAGTAAAATAGCTTCTGCTTCACGCTTACCCAATCCAAATATATTTTTTAACTGATTTAAAGCAGCAAACTGAAATTGATAATAAATATGTTAAAAATCATAAATCATAAAATAAGTATTCACACAGATGAAGTTACATATTTAATATCAACAGTAAACAAATCTTCATGGTGATACATATTCTTAGAGTACTGAGTTTAAGAGAATTTCAAAGGTAATAGTGGAAAAGAAACAGGAGTTCATTCTGGAAGTTTCAGTACAACCAACTGAAATTATTACCACAACATTAACAGGGCGTTTGGTATACAGAGCGTTTTTTCATTATCGGGAATCATAATTCCTAGGAATGTATAAAATGTGTTTGATACTACTAAAGTTTTCATAGAAAATGTTGGATAATGTTTAGAGGAAGTTTCTCACCATGGGAGTCTTTGGATTCCCACCATGTGTGAGATTCTTCCTGGAAACGTAAATACAAAACTAACCTAAGGAATGTGTGTTAATTTACAGACAAAAAAAAAAAACATAACATTTATACCAAACAGAAATATATGATTCCCAAATCAAGATTCCAATGAAACTTCAAAAAATTCTCTCTACAAAAGACTCCTAAAAACAAACAGCTGAAGAAATTGCCCAGCTCAACGGCGAAATGATCGTTTGATGTAGGTCAAACACTTGCTCGTATTCAACTATAAAATAAAAATCTTGGATAAACAATATAAACATCTTAGCAATTCCATTTTTCTATTTAAATGATATGACAGAGATAATGTTTTTATTATTATTGATTAGAGCAGCTTGTGCTCTTAAATAGAATACAATATATTTAGGAAAGGAAATTCCTAATAAATACTTATCATTGCCCTCAATCAATTCTATAAGTAAGGACCAATAATTTCTATAAATACATACACAGCTAATCAAATCCTATTTATGGGATTTTAATCCTATTTAACTATAAAATATACCACTAATTAACACATGTACAGCTCGTTCTGACACTCCCCCTCAAGTTGGAGAGTGGATGTTACTCATTCCCAACTTGCCGATAATAGATTGCAATGTAGAACCACTTAATCCTTTTGTAAGAACATCTGCCAGTTGATTTCCAGTTGATACAAATGGTATACATATTGTCCCACTATCCAATTTTTCCTTGATGAAATGTCTGTCTACTTCGACATGCTTCGTTCTATCATGTTGCACTGGATTATGTGCAATGTTTATTGCTGACTTGTTGTCACAATATAGTTTCATGGGTCCATTCCATTCAATCTTTAGGTCTTGTAGAATTATTTTCAGCCACAGGAGTTCACAAATACCTAAAGCCATAGCCCGAAATTCTGCTTCTGCACTTGACCTCGCAACAACGTTTTGTTTTTTGCTCCTCCAAGTCACCAAGTTTCCTCCAAGAAAAGTACAATATCCGGATGTGGATCTTCTGTCATCTACTGATCCAGCATAATCAGCATCTGTATAGGCTTCCAAAGTAATTCCTTGACCCTTTGTAAATAGAATTCCTTTTCCAGGAGTGCCCTTCAAGTATTGCAAAATTCGGTAAACAGCTCTAAGATGATTTTCTTTGGGATTATGCATGAATTGACTCACCACTCCCACTGCATAAGCTATGTCTGGCCTAGTGTGAGATAAATAGATTAACTTTCCAACCAACTTTTGATAGGATTCTCTGTCCACAGTTGCATCTTCAACAAATTCACTAAGTCTGTGATTTTGTTCAATTGGAGTTTCTACTGGTTTGCATCCCAATTTACCAGTTTCAGATAATAAATCCAGCACATACTTCTGTTGAGAGATGAAAATACCGTGACGAGAGTGTGCCACTTCAAGGCCCAAAAAATATTTTAATCTGCCCAACTCTTTTACTTCAAACTCTTTTAGCAAACACACTTTTAGGCTATCCATTTCTGCTTGATGATTTCCTGTTACAATTATATCATCCACATAAACAATTAGTGCAGTAACTCCCCCTAAGGCTGAATGCTTAGTAAACAAAGTGTGATCTCCCTGACTTTGTTTATATCCCATATCTTTCATCACAGTGGTAAACCTGCCAAACCAGGCCCTAGGGGACTGTTTCAGTCCATAAATGGCCTTCCTTAGCTTACAAACTTTGTCTTTCTCAAAGTTAAACCCAGGTGGGACCTCCATGTAAATTTCCTCTTCAAGGTTGCCATGTAGGAAAGCATTCTTGACATCGAATTGCTGCAAATTCCATCCATAGTTAGCTGCTAGAGATAACAAAATTCTGACAGTGCTCATTTTTGCGACAGGAGAGAAAGTCTCATGATAGTCAATCCCATATGTTTGTGTGTACCCCTTAGCTACTAGTCTTGCTTTATACCTTTCTAGTGTTCCATCGGACTTGTATTTAAGGGTGAATACCCATTTACAGCCAACAAGTTTTTTGTCATTAGGAAGCTCTACTAACTTCCAAGTTCCATTTTTCTCAAGTGCATCCATTTCAACTTTCATAGCTTCTCTCCACTCTTTGCTATCTAGTGCTTCGGTAACATTTTTTGGGATAGCGGTAGTGTTTAAATGAGCAAGAAAACTTCTATGATTGTTGGACAAATTATCATAGGATATAAAGTGAGACATTGGATACCTTGGCCTTTTTGTACATGCTCTAACATCCTTCCTTATTGCAATTGGAAGATCTCTAGCATCCATGGATATATTCTGCTCCTCTAAATCAGTCCCATCAACTTCAGTTTCAGGGGGCACAATTTGCTCCTCTAAAACAGTCTCATTGATTACAGTTTCAAGAATTGGGTCAGATTCTGGGACTTGCACAGGTTGGATAATAGGTGCTGCCCTTCTTGTGTAAACTTGTAGTGGACGAGTAGCATTAAAAGTCTGTAATGAAGTGGTTATAGGACTTGACTCGGGAGTCTTGGGCATAAAAGAAAGGTCTTTGAACAAATCATCCTTATCTTCGATGCATTCCTTCTCCCCCTGAAGATAAGGTTTGGAAAAAAAGGATTCGGTTTCGACAAAAGTGACATCAATAGACACAAAATTCTTTTTTGTTGTAGGTTGATAACACTTGTAACCTTTTTGGGTAGGCGAGTAACCAAGAAATATGCATTTAATAGCTCGGGGATCAAGTTTTCCTCGATGTGGAGAATGAACATGGACAAATGACACACACCCAAAGATCCTAGGAACTAGGTGGTTTGAAGTTTTGAAATTTGGGTAGAATTTGGAGAGGAGCTGAATGGGGCTGTTATTCTGAAGAATTTGAGAGGGTAAGCGATTAATCAAGTAGGCTGCAGTAAGAGCAGCCTCCCCCCAATATTGTTTTGGAACATTTGTGTGGAATAAAGATGCTCGGGTAACATTGAGAATATGCCCAATTTTTCTTTCAGCCACCCCATTTTGTTGTGGGGTGTGGACACATGATGATTCATGAATAATACCATGTTCAGTGAAAAAGGAAGACAATGTTTGATTAAAATAATCTTTGGCATTGTCAGAACGAAACCGTTTAATGGTAGTCTCAAATTGGGTTTTTATCATTTGGAAAAACAATTTAAATATTTGAGTGACTTCACTTTTTTGTTTTAAGAGATACATCCATGACACTCTAGTACAATCATCAATAAAAATGACAAACCAACGGGCCCCCGATATATTTGGGATATTGGATGGCCCCCAAACATCACTATGGATTAAGGAAAAAGGAGTAGACATTCTTTTATTATTATTAGGAAAGCTGACACGTTTGTGTTTAGCAAGTTCACAATCATCACAGTGAAAATTTTCTAAGTTTATACCTTGAAACAAGGTGGGAAACATATTTTTGAGAGTGCTAAATGAAGGATGACCCAACCGGAAGTGACGCAACCAGATTTCTTTATTGAGGGAAGGAATAGATTCTGACAACAAAGACAGTGGAAGTTGACTCTTAATGCTACTTGTCTCACGCGCTTCCATAAGAAGGTAGAGCCCATTGTCCTCTCTAGCAAGTCCAATCATCTTCCCCGTTTCCTGATCCTGAAATTTGCAAAGTGTAGGAGTGAATGTTACCAAGCATTGTAAATCTGTTGTAAGTTTGTGAATAGATAACAGTTTGGCAGAAAATTTGGGCACATGCAAGACATCTCTCAACATTAAATTTTGACTTAGTGGAATATCTCCCTTTCCTGCAACAGTAATAAAAGTGCCATCTGCAGTGACAATCTTTTTATTACTTGGACACGGTGTGTAAGAGATAAACTCTATAGAGGAATGGGTCATGTGATTCGTAGCCCCAGAATCAACAATCCATGTCCCTTTTCCTGTAGATTGTAAAACACTAAGAGCATAGGGATGAGAACTACCTGATAATGCCATGGAAGAACTACCTGTGTTTGTGGGTTTGACTAAAGAGTCTAGTAGTTCCCTTAGTCTTGTAATTTCTTCTGAATTGAAATCAGCAGTAGGTTTGGAATGACTTTCCTTGACAACACTTGATTGGACCAAGTGGGCATGTGCTGGTCCTCCTCGTTGAATGCCTTTGGTGTTCCAATTTCGGTTCTGATTTGGCGGTTTTCCATGAAGTTTCCAGCATCTGTCTTCGGTGTGCCTTGGCTTCTTGCAGAAGGTACACCATAAAGAATCCTTATTAACTGGTTCAGACATTCTGAATTTTGTTGGGAAAAACGGCAAGATAGACCGTAAAATAAAATCGGCAATGCAGGCCGCACAGCGGAAACAATGGCAATGCAGGCCACAATTTTTAACAGGCTCCTATGGATTTTGGAGCTCTGATGCCATGACAGAGATAATGTTTTTATTATTATTGATTAGAGCAGCTTGTGCTCTTAAATAGAATACAATATATTTAGGAAAGGAAATTCCTAATAAATACTTATCATTGCCCTCAATCAATTCTATAAGTAAGGACCAATAATTTCTATAAATACATACACAGCTAATCAAATCCTATTTATGGGATTTTAATCCTATTTAACTATAAAATATACCACTAATTAACACATGTACAGCTCGTTCTGACATGATATGTTCACTTACCTTATTATCTTCCATGCGCCCACTAGACAGAGCATCTGAAACATATGCCCTGTAAAGGAGTTTCAAATCTTCCATCTTTCTATCAACATCATACTCACCACCTACGCCAAAAGTGAGTTTAATTTAACTTCATGAACTCAAAATATAAAACTAGAAAGAACCAAAAAGCAAAAAAAAAAAAAAAAAGATATTCAGTCAGGAAGAAACTCACCCACTAAAGAAACTGGACCAACACCACGAGCAATGCGATCTATGTCCGAATGATTCTTAAATGAGATGAGTAAATCATTAAATGCCAATACCTTTTCAAGCTCCTCAACAACTTGGCTCACTCCAGGACTGAAAAACATAGTTGATTAAAAAGGGAAAAATATACATTTGCAAAAATAAAGAAATGAACAGCTATGAAGCATGGACATGTTTATCAACACATGCTTTCACCGGGTTTCCTCCAGAAACTTGGTTAGGTTAAGATGTGAGTCAAGTGTGTACGTGAGAGGACAATCTTGATCATACAACCATACATAGATGATTGACATTAATACATCTTCTGTACTTAATCTATTTGTATGTATAGTGTATAGACAAACATGAGTGCTATGTATAAGTATATGCCTTGCGAGCATGCATCACAGACGAACACTAACACTGTGGAAAAGATGGCAAGGAAGATCATATCCAGAATTCAATATTTATTTATTTAACATGGATCCTCCTTTTGCAGCACATTAACATGCCAAGAAAACTCGGTTATTAATGAAAACCCACAATGACCTGATCCCTCAAAATTAAAAAATACTTGAAATGATAAAAAGAGTCTTACACTGCTCTTGTGCGAGATTTAAGTATTCCAAGTGCCACTGAAATATTTTGCTCAACCAATTTCCTTACATGCTCTCTAAACAAGTTCTCCGCAAGCTACAAAATGAAAATTCCTTTTCAATTAATAAAAAAAATAACACTACACTCATTAACGTTGTGTGTAGTACCTTATCAGGAACTAGAAAATTATAAAAGAAAAAATAAGGAAGAAGTACCTCATCAGAAAGACGACATAAACGTTGTGTTTCTCTGAGTGCAACAAGTTTTCCTAGATCAAAATCTGGCAAGAAATTATTCGTTAGACTTAAGGAAGCAAACCCCATTAACAACTAAAAACTGCTTTAAAATGTATTTGTTAATTTAGAGTAATTCAAGATGATTTCAGAACAAACTCCAGCATCACATTAAGACAGACCGAACTCTTAACTTTTTTAACAAAATAATTGCACTCAATTTATTAAAAGTATAAATTACAGGCTTTATATCACTACTAGTAGTATTATACTGTTAAAAATGTGCCAAGCATGAGCAGTGTTGACCATATTTATTACACTGAGACTAAATAAAGGCCAGAACACATTACAGGTTACACAATTACCTCTGCCAACAGATTTCAGCTTGGAAGCATACAGTCGCTGAGCATTATCACGTATAGCTACTTCAACCTGGTAAATAGAATATTGTCAACTAGTCAAATGAAAAATAACAAAATACTCCCTCTGTTTCAAAATGACTGTCGTTTTAGCAAATAAATTTTGTTTCAAAATGACTGTCGTTTTCACTTTTCGATGTAGTAATTAATGATTATTATTTTTCCAATTGTGACATTTACTTTTTACTCAATATACTACTTTCAATACATTAATAGGGTTAATTTTGTAAAACAGTAATGTCTTATGACAACATCATTGCATTCCTTAATTTGTGTGCAAAAACCTTAAACGACGGTCATTTTGAAATAGAGAGAGTACTAATAATGAATGAATGAAAGGCTGCGTACGTCCGACCCCCAGAGCCCATAAAATGCGAGTCTTGTGCACTGGGTTACCCCTTTTTTACTAATAATGAATGAAATTTCATTGTTAAAATTAATCATTATTATTATTACAGAATGATAAAACATCTATCTCAGAATGGCAATGTTAACAAACATGGCAAAGTGCAATTCAGGCAGAAAATAAATCCTCCCCTTTCAAGAAAAAACACCTAAACACAATTATTCTACTATGCTCCAATACTCCTAACCTAATTGCATAATACAAATACAATTCACATTGCACAGACCAATTGAGAAAAAAGTAACACATACCTGGGATTCAGTGACCTTGAAGACACGTTTCCAAGGTAGAAGGAAAGATGATGCATCTCCAAATACAATATTTGACACATATATCAACTTCTGGAACGCCTGCACTGGAGACTCTCTCAATGGTCAAGTTCCAAGTATTTACCATTTATTTAAAGCCCATCAAATTGCCATATTTGGCTAGTTAAAGCAACTATATAACAAATACAACAAGCATACCCGACGTTGCTCAACATCCCCCTCACGGTCTCCTACTTCAAGCCTTTGCCTGAAAAGCTTCCTACCAATCTAGGAGAGGAGGTCAACAAGCAAGCACCAAACCAGTAAGAATCAGAACTGCTTTCACTCATCAAAACAAACACCCTCAAATCTCACATATACATGCAAAATTAACACAAAAATTACCTCCATATGTACAGAAGCAGCGTCCGGGTCATCAAGACCTAAAGAATTTTTGAACTTGACAATCCTATCAACTTCATCCCCTTTAAGCTCCTCTCCACCAGGAGGAATCACCGAAGATACAAACCTAAGCAAGTCAAAATACAAATCAATTACTCAAATGCAGAAATTAAACAGCCATATCATCCAATGAAGCGCAAACACCCTGAATATGACCCTGACACTAACACGGAGACATTGGTAATAATTTTTAAAAATAAATAAAAATAAATGTAATCATAAGTGTCGGTGCATGTGTCCGACACTGACACTTCTTTTTCCAGAGATGTCGATGCTACATAGATATAACCATAACTACTTATCACAAATCCTAACAAACAACTCAACAGAAAATCAATGTAAAAAAAAAAAAACATAAACTAATTTGTAGCTTACTCGGAATATATATCACAAATCTCAGCCTTAAATGCCTCATCTTGCTTACTCACACCATACCTGAAAAAATTAAACACAAAATTAACCAATTCGAAATCAAGTAATTAACCTTTTTTTCTAGCATCAACAAAAAATCATAATTTAAAATCATGCAATTAAGACTCACTTGTTTGCAATAACTTCAATATCTTCCTTGGTCAAAATCGAAGGGTCATCAAATCCAGCAACATAATTATGCAAATTAACCGCCGCAACTTGAGGTGCAGCAGCATTCAAAGCATACGCAGCAGCACCACCGGCAGCACCAAGAGCCACGGCACCACCAAGCGCGGCATTACGGTTTCCTCCAAACCTAGAACCTAAACCGTATCCAGCCGCGACCGCGCCGGCAACGATGACGGCAGATGTAGCAAGTCTCGCCGGCGAAGACAACTTATCAACTAGAATCTCAATTCCGGTGAGTTCCTTCGGCGGTCGCTGCGGCGGCGAGGAAGAAGAAGGATTGTTGGTTTCGGAGGAGCATCGAGGGAGTGAGACCCTAAAACGACGTCGTTGTGTGCGTAACGGAGAAGGTGAGGGTAGTAAAACGGAAGGGTGTGAATGGGAAGGTTTAAGCGTGGAAGGGTTCATGACGACGTCGTTTAAGGTGTTGTTGGTGTTTATAGGGTTTAACGGAAATGAAGAGGATAGAGAGAAGAAGATGATGGAGATAACATGAAATCGTCGATACTTAACTTTAACATGGTTGAACTGCTGTTTTGATCTGACGGTTTGAGAATTTCGAATGGTTTTTTATTTTTTATTTAAATGTATGAAAATGATTTGGACGGTTAGGATTATTTGCGGTTGAATTCAATTGCAAATAAGTGGGTGGTAAATGAATTTTTGAAACTTTTGGGGATTATTTGTCATTATGAGAGTATATATACATACTACATAACGAAGATGTGCAATAATTTCTACTAAAAAGAGAAGTGTAACATTGGTGTAAGACTATGTTAAATTAATAATATTTAATGATAATTCAACATATTTTTATATAAATTTATTTTAAAATTCTCATAAAAAATTCAGGAAATATCAAATAAAAAAAATGATCATGAATTAATTCAATTCTTTAAAGATGGAGAAAAGAATTCAGATTTCTCTGAAGAATCTTCATCATCTCGAAAAGTTACATGAAGTTTTTGAGAAATCGTCACCATAAGCATCATATGATAGAAAAGTCACTTTGGAGAATCGTTATAGCAAGAGTTTATTTCAATATACGAAAATTTTGTAATATTGCATGAAGAAGTTGTAACAATGTGTGAAGAAATGTCTCCATCTTCCAAAATTTCATTCGAAGATTCATCAAAAGACTCAAGTGAAGCACCTTTTAGGAGATCAACTAAAGAATCAAATAAAGTGATGAACTTTTGCTTTAAAGATCCTTATGAAGAGAATGACAATGAGGTAACTATTATATCATAGAAATAAGTATTTGCCTTAAGTGTTAAGCTTAGCAAAGAAAATAAAAAGTTAGAAAGAAACATATTATATTTGAAAAATCATATTAATTTTCTTGAAAGTAATAATGATGGACTTGATATTGAACTTGATGTTGATCATCATAAAGTGTGCCTTCATTGTCTTCTTGATTTTATTTATCCCAAAAGGTCTGCGTGTTCTTGTTATCGATCCATTGATCGTCTCGTTGGGTGAGACCCTTCTTCGCTAATCAAGCTCCTCTTTGCTAAGCGAGAACGCACAAATCTACAAAGCTAGAAACATGATTCTCCACCATATGAGCTCTTCCAAAGCTCTGATTTTAACCCCTAATCACCCTAATTAAACATACAACATTACATATACATCATATGATGTTTATTCCATCAAAATTCTACTGATTCATCACTTAAATCATCAACTTATTCCAAATCAAATAACATGTTTATCATACCAAAATCCCATGAACATAGACATTCAAACTCATTTTTGAACATACACCTCCTACATGAAATTCATTAATAAAATAGAGCACAAATTTCACAATAATTACAACAATTATCACAGATTTCACAAAAAAAAATCTCAAAAACACATAAGCTTCAACAATGGTGAAAAAGATATAAAAACCTAGATGAGGGTGAGGATTCCTCTCCACCATTCATGCATTTGACATCGATATTAAAGTAATTCCACCTACCTTAATTTTCTAACAGCAAATCCAAGATCTTGGCTACAGTTTCTTCATACTAGAGTTCTCTTTAGGTTTTACCTCTTTTCCCACTTTTCTCCACTTTCTTGTATCAAATAAAACTCCTTACTCCCCTCACTTTATCTATTTAAATGACCTACTATTATTTTTCATAATCCTACACCTTTCTCTTAATTATTGGTAACTCGTCCCTTAATTCACCGATTTTACTAAAATTCTAATTTCACCACACATTTCACTATTGTGGATCTATGTGCTTGCAGTTAATAAATATCAGCATCTAAAGTTTTGATGACAACAATGCATGAAGATATACATGTGCTTGTAGAAGAGGACTCAAGATCGGAGTGTTTATACAATCAGATACTATCTAGCAAAAAGTCTTGAAGCTTCTTTGGGAAAGGTGTGAAAGTTCTCCAGGTCTTGTCTGTCACTTTGTTTAAGTGAATTGAGTACTGTAAAAATAAGGAAGTAGCTTAAGAATACTGAGGCAACTCACACACATACTAAAAATCATTTTAGTAAAAAAATACAATTTCAAAAATGCCTTCAAGTTATACCAGACACTATTATTAATAACATTTTTTATGACGAAACTTTCACGTTGAACATAATAAAAACCGAAGGTATAGGTCCTGGGAGCGTCATGTTTGATTTTTTTAGAAAATAGATAACTTTTCCCTTGGTTTTCTCAAAAACTGAGGTGACATGGTGTGATACGGTGGGAGAACTGACTTGGGTGTTTTGCGTTTGATCGCAAATGTTGCGGTTAGCAAGAGCCGCCACCGACTTTTCTTTTATCCAAAAGGAAAGGTGAAAAGGCACAAGAAAGACCTTTGAGATTGTTTTTCTTGAGTTCAGGAGGTAGATTATGAAAAGGGAAGGTATTAGCACCCTTTTCATTCATGGTTTTCTATAGGCTCTTAGTTACTTGCTAGATCACTTGCTTTTGTTTGAAATTATGCTTTATGTGGTTTTGAAAGTATTTTTGAAAAGAGGCCATTGTTTAGGCAAACTTTGTAATGACTTTCATTCGTAAAAATGTATACAAAGTGTTAATCTTTTGAAAATATTTTCAAGTTTGAAAGGTGTTTTGAAAGCGTAGGTGTTTGTTTTTGAAAATAGCAAGGATGTTTTTGTTTTGAAATGGAGTAAGTAACTAGGAACATTCTTCCTACTCAAAAATCTTTCATGTTCATTTCCTTTTTCCTTTGACATTGTTATCTTACCATTGATTTGGTAAATAACTCTATCTTTGGATGTAAAAGGGACAGGTGTGGATCATCGTATAATTATGATTAGCAATGTTGCAAGGTATCTTAGCATTTTTCTTTAGGGACTAAGATCATTTTGAAAGTCAACTTTTGATAGCGTCATCAAGGGACTATGATCTTGTATTTTGCTTGTCTTTGCTAAGATATCTCACATGCGTAATATGGTCATTTTTGTAAGGCAACCAATTGGGTTTACCCTAGGGATGCTTGTGTGCAAGTGGATTGATTTTCATGTTTGATTTGTCTTTGATTAGGATTTTCTATTGATTGGTTTTAGTCTTTCCATACAAAACTCTAATTACTAGCATTTGTATATAAAGCGATAAGTTGCGAAATTTAAAATTACTACGCTATTACAATACTTAGGGGAGGAGGTATACAAATTTACAAATGGAGAATATAGCAAGAAATTAAATCTAAATAATATTACAACCATATTGAATTTTGAATAAATGTATAAAATAACTAAATAAAATGCACGAATGCAAATGTAAAAAAGAAAATGTAATTTTTGTTTGATTTTTCATGAGAAGAAGTTTTTTGACTTAATTAATTAAAATAAAATAATTAACTTAAAAAAAGAAAATAATATTAAGTTAGTAAACTGAATTAATTTAAAGGAAACAAGTTTTTTAAGATTTTTGTGGATTTAATTAAATTAGTAAATAAAAACAATTAAATAAAAGATCCTAAATTTTAAATTGATTTTAATTTATAAGAAAATAATATAATAAAATTTAAAATTTATTATCTAAGTATTTTTAAAAAAAGGAAGTTAATTTATTAAAGAAAATGTTTTTGTGCTTTTAATTTTATGAAAAAAATAAACTAAATAAAAATAAATAAATAAATATAAATATTTTTGGGTTTTTAGTAATGAAAATAATAATAATAATAATAATAATAATAATAATAATAATAATAATAATATTATTAATAATAATAATAATAATAATAATAATAATAATAATAATAATAATAATAATAATAGAAGATAAGAAAGTAAAATTTAAAAAAATAAAGTCAGGGAGGTGGATTAATGAAACAGGACAATGATGTACAGCTTCAGGACAATGATGTCTATATTTTATCTTCACAAATGCAAGCCTATCAATGCCTAAATAATGAGATAGAAGTTCAAGAAAAATACCTCAAAACTGGAAATCGTGAAATGCAAATGAGCTTGATTCAAAGTGCTGCAATGATCATGTTAGCTTCCTCAAGTTCCCAGGAAGCTAATGCAATGGTTTGCTTGAGTAATGGATGGCTGGAATGGTTTGGAGAAGTCAACTTGCAGAGCTTTGTTTTTGGTTATGGAGGTTGATGAAGATGGAGTTACAGTTATGAAACAGGGTCATAGATGGTTTGTATTTGATGTAAGGAAGCTTTATGAATGATTTTGAGGGGAAACGCACGAGGGAAATGAGAGATACAAGTTTAAGGTCAGAACTGTGTATTAATGGAGTTTTTTGTGCAATTTCTGGCTAGAGGGAATTTCGGAGTGTTTCATGGTGCTTCAGCTCGTGTCCTAGCTCACAAATAGTGACTCTATTTATAAGCAACAAGTTTGGAGACTTGTTGTTGATCAGAATTCAAAATCACAAGTTTATGCATAACATGTGATTTTTGAGAAATTCAAGTTTCAAAGCCTTGTGTACTTGCTAAGATATAGTGGTTATGCTTTAAATATACTTGCTTCTGACTTTGTGGATGGATTATGATCAGAGGGAACAAGTTAGAGGCTCAAGAATGGACTTTATGCAGAAAGCTTGCTTTACAAGAATGGCAATGTTAACTTTGTGCCATTAATGGAAATGCAACTTGGATAATAGCTCAATTGCTTGGATCAAAGCTCTAACAGTTGTGTAAACATTTAATTATGGAGTGATAAACAAGTTTGGGGCCTGCAAATCAAAGATTATGCATCCTAGTATGGATTTGGTTCATGTGTTCATCAAAAATGACTTGTAATTCAAGTTTGAAAACCCTAACTTCCTCTCTCCGATTCTCCCTGCTCAAGAATGATCACAAGGAGTTCTTAGACATTTTGGAAAGCTTGTAATATGCTCTATAACCTCTCTTTGAATAACTTTTGAAAATTCCCCTTGGAACTATATGAAAAAGTGCCATGAAGTTAGGTCAAAATCCTGCCTAAA